TAATAAACTTTTAATTTTTTATATTACTTTTTAATTATTTTTAATTATAATTTATATTATTATAATTTTAGTATTTAATTTTTATATAAATTAATTATATTTTTTAAATATAAATTATATTATACTTTTAAGCTTATATATCTTTTAATATATTTAATCTTTTTAAATTTAATATATTTTTTATAAATTCTATTTTATATTTATTATATTTTTTTATACTTTTTTTTATTTTTAAATAAATTTATTTTTATTTTATAAAATATTTTAAAAAACTTTTTTAATTTTTTTAATATTTATTACTTTTTATAGCTTTTTTTAATTAATAGCTTTTTTTAATTAATATTATTAATAAACTATTTATTACTATTATTATTATATTAATAGTTTAATTTCTTTTTTATTAAAGTAATATCTTAAATTATTTATTAAAGTTTTATTTATATATTTTTTATCTTTTTAAATCTCTTTATAATAGGTTATATAATATTAAAGCTTTAATACTTTAAAGTTTTTATATTATATATTTAATAGATCCCTTTTTATTTTTTCTTTTTAATATAGTTTATTATTAAGTATTTTTAAAATTATAATAAAAAAAGTAATTATTATTTTTATTATTATTTATATTTAATATATTAATAATATGTATAGGATATTAATATAATAATTAGGGTTTAAAATTAAGCAACTAATTTATATTATATTTATATTTATAAGATACATAAGGTATTAAATTAAATATATTAATTAATATTATATTTAATATTTACTATCTTAAGTCTATAAATTATTTAGGCATTTCTATTTTAAATGCCTTTAAATCTCTTAATAGTTAATAATATAAATAAGGCTTATTAAGGTATAAAAGTATTATTAATAATTAATAAGTTAAGTTTTATTTAATATTAAAGAAATATATATATTTAATATAAAGGCTTATAGTTAAGCAAGTTAGGCTTATAATAAGACTATAAATTAAGTTATAAGTCTATTATAAGCCAGTAAGGTAACTTATAGTAAGTCTATTTTAATATAATATAAAGTAGTTTATAATTAATAAAAATTAATAAAATATATATAATATAAATATTATATTTTATTTAATTATAATATAATTTCCTTTTTTCTTTTTAGTTTTATCTTTAAA